TCAATGGAGTGACGCATTTGATAATATTTTCGGCAAATGTTTTACCTAGACATATCCTTCTTCCTCCAAGAAATGGAGTGAAACTACCAGGCTTTCTCTTTTTGCCCTCTGCAGTCAAGAAATGCTTTGACGAAGAATCAAACCTTTCAGGAATAAATTAGAAAGGCTCAGGCCATTCATTAGCATTTCTCTACAACCCTAAGAAGTGGAATACTATTGGCGTTCCTTTAAATATTTTCTTGCCAAGAATCTCAATATCCTGAGTTACAATAAAAGGTGTGCTTTTTCTCAGTGGAGGTTCAATTCTTAGATTTTCCTAAGCAACCAGGTATAGATATTTCCATTAGTTTTAAATTTCATCTAGACTTAGCTTTTAAAGCCATTCTTCTTTTGATATCTAACTTATCAATTTCTTCTAGCCAAAAATGTCTTTTATCTCATTTCTGAGGTTAGCTCTAATTGAATCGTATTTTGTAAGGTAGAAAAAAAGATTAGAAAGTGCAGTTGCGGTAGTTTAAGTTGCTGCTAACATGAATGTGCAACATTCATCGATCATTAAGCTCTCATTATCCTTAAAAAGATCATCATGTAATAGCATGTTCAAAAAGTCGTGGTGAATGTCTTCAGGCTTGAGTGCCTTATTTTTCTCTCTTCTCAAATTTATCATATCAAGTATGAATCTTCTCATAGTTACGGAGTTCTCCAACAATTCCGTCTCAGCTTTGCCTACCTCTTATATGAGAAAGTATTTAAGTTTTACTACTTCTATTGGTATTACAAAAGGCAAGGTCTTAAATCTACTGCTTTTCCTATGCCATTTGTTGGAAATCTTTTCAAATTGAAGCACGTCTTTGAGACTTCAGATAAATACAGTTTAACTCCTTTTGAAGAGTATTGGAAAAGATAGTTTGGGGATGACGTACCACCAGTTTTCAGTGATCACAGAATACCAGAGGGATCTGTTGTGTTCTCAGACCCCAATTATGTGAATGATGTTTTCACAACAAAATCAAGATACATGGAGAAACATCCAAAGTTTCACAGACTTGTTTGGAATTTATTCAGAGATTCTGTTTTCTTTGTGAAATCCACAGAAACATGGGTAGAAAAAAGAAAGCATCTATCAACTGCCTTCTACAAAGATAAGATTAACATAATGATTGCAACTGCTATTGATGTTTGCAAACATAGAGTTGATAAGTTAAGGCAGTAAGTGAAAGAAAATGGCGGAAGCCTAGAAATGAGTCTCAATTTGTTTGTCTAGGAAGTTATTGACGATGTAATATAAGCTTGCGTTTTTGGACAAAAAAGTCTTGAAAGAAAGCTATAGTACAACGTATATGGTTAAGAATAAGAGCTATCTGCTGGAACATGCTTCAGAATTGCATTCCATACATTCATAGATAGATATATTAAGGTCTTCAGATAACTTACTGATTTGTTTGACTCGATAGCTGTTGACAAAGATGAAAAAGTAATCTTTGAGAACGGTAATAGACTTAGAAATTATGTATCTTAGATGGTTATCAAGAGAAGAGAAGAAATGAATGACCCCAATTTCTAGTCACAAGGGGATTTCTTGACTTTACTGTGCTAGGATCCATACTTCGATGATGAAACAATTATTACAGAGTGCACAACCTTCTTGGCTGCAGCTAATGTTACTAACTCTATAACTGTAACAAATGCTATGTTCTATTTAATGAGAGATAGACATATTTTGGAGAAGGCTAGAGTAAAATGCAGCACATAATTCAAGACTACAAGAGAGGGTCTTAAAGAATTCACTGCTGAATAATGGAAAGCAGTAATGAACTATGATGGGCAGTATCCATTTACTGAGCAAGTCATATTAGAATCTTTAAGAATCAATCCACCAGTAACATTTTCAAGCCCCCACTACTTTGTAGAGGATACAGTTATCAATGGAGTTAAAGTCCACAAGGATTCCTAATGGCACATTTGGATGAGTGCTCTTCATCACAACCCAAAAGAATGGAGAGAGCCAGAGAAGTTTATTCCTGAAAGATTTGATCCTGAATCTGAGTACTACCTGACTCCTGCAGGTAAAAAGAGACATCCTATGTCTTTTGCTCCATTTTTCGGAGGAAAGAGAATTTGTATCGGCAAAACCTTTGCTCAGCATATTCTGACAAGTATTCTAACCATCTTGATCAATCAACTTGATTATGAACTAGCTGATGAGAGTTTATATCACAGAAAACCATCAAACACATTCTTGCAGTAGGAATTCACCTACAAAGTAAGAGCTAAGGAACTCTAGTGATTTAACTTATAATTCAAACCTTATTCATTTGCTTTTGTCTAAAATAGCGATTCTTCCCCAATTTATGGGTCTAGATAACTATTTGCTATTTTAGCTTAATTATTAAACCAGTTAATAACAATTCTTCCATTAAATCGTAAAATTGCTTTTGAAGATTTATTATTAATGATCTTTTTATTAGCTATATTATTACTTTTAAGTATTAATCACTTCCAATTTATTATCAATCGTGTATTTCATTTCTTAAAATATAGTCAAGAAAATAATTACTTTAATCCTAATTATTAATATCAACTAATTACGAGACCTAAAATATGCACGAAATTTATTTTATGAATTTAATTTCAAATTAATATAAATTGATTCAATCTAGTATCACGGGGTTTTGGGGTTTTGGGGTTTTGGGGTTTTGGGG